ACTGAGTTTTAGTGTTTTTATATAATAACTGAGTTTTAGTGATTTTATATAATAACTGAGTTTTAGTGATTTTATATAATAACTGAGTTTTAGTGGTTTTATATAATAACTGAGTTTTAGGGTTTTTATACAATAACTGGATTATTCTGAAAGATTATTTGTCTCGACATTATCCAAGTGATAAATGAACAAACGTTCAGGTACTACCAGGTGAGTCTTTGCAAAAAAAACAAGAGCAAAAGAAAAAAATTTAACACTGGAAATTTAATGGGAACAACCTTTCTACAGTACCCTTTTGTTACCTATAAAACAAGTATGTACTTATACCCTCTATATATAGGTGTGCGTGTATACACGTAAGTGTATAGAAAAAAAAAAAAGAAAAAAGAGAAGGGGAAAAGAACGGAAAGTCGCACCTCGATAGCTGCCAATTCTTTATTGTCCTTGGCAAACGTCCAACCCTTTCTTTCTGTAACCCTACGACCTCCCAGCTCTCCCACTGGTTAGTGGGACCATCACCCTACCCTACCCCCTTTCCTCACCTCTCTTCTTCCTTCTTTTCCTCTTCCTGTATTTTTTCTTTTCTTTTTATTTTATTTCGTTTATTCATCACAGTATTTCAAATCGAAAAAAAAAAAAATAAAAGGGGATGCGTTTTTGGTAAAAGGGAACACGAAAGAACACCTTCAAGGATTTTTTCCTTTTCAAGGTATACTACTACTACTATTAATATTACTATTACTAGTAAACTAAAGGTGGAAAATTTTCCCTAGGGAAAAAACCACTACCGATCCCCCAACAGTTGAGGGGAGAGTTTAAAGAGTAGAAAGAATATCTCTCTTTTGAAATTTCTCACGAATCTCACTCACCACCCAACCAGTCCCCATTTGCACCCCTTAACAGGACGCGAATCTTTTTTTGAAAGACCAATTTTTATTTCTCTTTTTTTTTTATTCTCCACTTTCCTTTCTTTTTATCACAATCGCGGAACACACTCACTCGTTCGAATTCTATTCGATTTCATTCGATTCGATTTTATTCGTTCAAGAAAAAGACCGATAACAAATCCACCACCATCCCAACCATCCCCACCATTATCACCGTGAAATTGTATTATAGATTTAGCACGAGTTTCTACTTTTATTTTATTAGTATTAGTTTTTTTGTTTTATCTTTTTATTTTAAATATTTTTTGAAAATATTAACCGGCCGGAGACGTATGAATACGTCTAACGTACTTTAACGTACTTTATATTATATATAAACGAAATAATATAACATTTCATAGTCTTTTCATTTATTTTAAGCATGAATAATAATAAATAAATAAATAATAAAAAAAAAGGTACGTAATTAAAAAAGGTAATTACCCGGTTAACAGATTAAACTGTAACATAAACCTATCAAACGTAATCGAATTTTTATTCAATTATTTTGTGTATTATTAAATTGTTAATTAAACGAATGTTGGTATTTTAATCGGATTACAAAAGGTTGGGCGCATTCGTTTATCGAATATAAAGCTTAGGTTTTATACAATAAAACAAAAAAAAATTCACACACACACACACAACACACACTTATGGTTTCCACTGAAATTGTTTCTATCGAATATAATACTTAAATGTTATGAAATATTTTCTAAATATGTTTGTTGTGTTTAAAAACTTACCGACTAGAAGGAGTAGCAACAAGGTCGAATCCATTCCCACAACCCAAGTTCGTCTACGACGATGGCTTCGGATTCAACGCATTCTCGAAACTTTCCTGCAACATAAACGAAAGAAACTTTAGAGAAACTAACTATAAATAATAATAATAATAATAGTAATAATAACTAATGGTATATTTGTATCAATGTTCTGTTAAAAAAAAAAAAAAAACCGTCATAAATAAACAAAAATATTGATGAACATTGAAGAAGTGTTTATAAAATAAACAAAAAAAAATATATAATTATTTAATTAATAATACACTAGATGATTAACATTGATTTGTTGTATGTCAATTAATATTCGAATTTTACAAAGTCAAAAATATTATATGGTGTATTTGAATAAACCATAATCAAATATTTCTATTTTATAGAGTATATTTTGTTTCTTTTTGGATGGATTAGGGGCTAAGGGGAAGGGTGAAATTTTTCAAATTGAAAAAATATAAAAAGAGAGAGATAAAGAGAGAGAGAGAGGAAACTACGTTATCCTCTTTTTATTAATTTTTTTTTTTTAGTTTTATTTCTTTCGTGTTATTACACGTGGGGAATTAAATACACACAGCTACAAAATTTACAGAAGCTTTTATTTCAATTTAAATGTCATAACGTTTTTTTCCACCACGCCCCCCCCCCACCCCCAAACTCGTATGCCACGAATACGTAGTACATTTATATATATAGAAATATCCACCCATATACATATATAGATACAGCCCTGCATAAATATACATATAAATATTTTCCCATATTTTCAACGATCATTTTAAACGTTCGTCACAAAATATTCAACCGTTTTATATTGAAACGATGATTCCTATTACGTGTAGGAATGAAAGCTTTCATTATTTTCCTACAGATGGCTTGTAGAAGCCATTTTTTTTTTGTTCAATAAGCCATCTGTAGGAAAATGGTCGAAGCAGAGTTGTACACACTTATATTCAAACGATGAATTATTAATAAATGATTTAATAAAATGAAAAGATTAATAAAAAAAAAAATGCAGAAATATTGGAACGATGATTTATATTAAGTGTACAATTTTGTTTCCACTATTTTCCTACAGATGGCTCATAAAAAAATGGCGGAAACAAAGTAAGACACCTATATTCAAACCATGAATTAATAAATGATTTAATAAAATGAAAAGATTAATAAAAAAAAAAATTCAGAAATATTAAAACGATGATTTCTATTAAGTGTACAATTTTGTTTCCACTATTTTCCTACAGATGGCTCATAAAAAAATGGCGGAAACAAAGTAAGACACCTATATTCAAGCCATGAATTAATAAATGATTTAATAAATATTATAACCAAATAAAGAGACTAAGAAATTAAGAAAGAAAGGAAGAAAGGAATTAAACCCACCCCTCTCCCCAAAAAAAATGATAAAAAGTGTCTTTGAAAGTATCGGTTCAACGAATTGGTAAGAATTAAGTATACGAATTGTAAACATGTCTTCAATGAAGTATCGTAAAACATAGTCGTAGTTGTCGTAGAGTCGGTATTTGACCAACGCTCATTATCGTTGCATTTTAAATTTCCCCTTTTTCTCTTATAACAGATTCTACATCTTGTTTTCTAACGTTCATTGAAAAAAAGAAGAAGAAGAAGAAGAAGAAGAAGAAAAAAAATGAGAGAATAAAAGAAAGAAAGAAACTATGGTTGTCTCGCGTATACTCGACTTACAATTAGAGACGAAGAATTATAAAAGAGAAAGGATAGAAAGAGAGAAAAAGTAAATTTTTACACGCGCACAAGAGTTAGGAAGGGAGGGAGGGAGTGGAGTGGGGGTGGGGGGGTTGAAGCTAGATTTTCAAAAGTAAATGAACGCTGGCAAGTGGACTTTTTTTCTTTTTTTCTCCTTCTTCTTCTTTTCTATTATTTTTAACGCACAAACACACGAATAGGAAGAGGAAGACGACGACGACGACGAAGTTGAGTTCGTCGAGTGTCGTACCAGCCAACTCTCTCTATCTCTCTCTCTCTCTCTCTGACTCTGCATCGTTGTAAATGAAAAAATGTATCTAGGGGAAAAAAAAAAGAGGAAGAGAGTGAGAGAGAGAGAGAGAGGAAAAGAAAGTGGAGAAGAAGGAAGCGTGAAATGTATCTTCTCGCACGGCTAAGCGAATTTAAAAAGGAAGAATTCTTTTCTGGACTTTCCTTTCGTACCTTCTAATTAAATATATTTTTACCAACGTTGACGATGTTTCCTCTAATATAAAAAAAATAAAAATAAAATGAAAATGACAAAAAAATATCCACGTCGTTGGAAATAGTTGGAAAAACAAACATATTGGGATCTCTGGCAGGGGCGTGGGGCGTACCAATTCGACCTATCTACTTTAATTTTGAATTTAGTCACCAGATAGCATATTTAAGTGTTAGAGATCCCAATATTGTACGGTTGTTCGAAAAGTTCGTACGAATTTTCGGCATTGAGTACTTTTGCTTAAAAAAAAAAAAACCTGAAAAGTTCTAGGAAGGACGACATTTTTTAAGATTAATTCTAATTCCAGAAATTAGTACTCAATATAACCTATTTAAATTAATCTTAATTAAGATTAAATATTTCTAACTCCAAAAATATCAAATTGTTCGAAAAGTTCGTGCTGATTTTCGGTAGATGGCATTGAGTACATTTGCTTAAAAAAAAAAAAAACCTGAAAAGTTCTAGGAAGGACGACATTTTTTAAGCTTAACTCTAATTCCAGAAATTAGTATTTTATTTAAACTATTTAAATTAATCTTAATTAAGATTACATATTTCTAACTCCAAAAATATCAAATTGTACGAAAAGTTCGTGCTGATTTTCGGTAGATGGCATTGAGTACTTTTGCTTAAAAAAAAAAACCTGAAAAGTTCTAGTTTCTTGAGTTAATTTTTTAAGCTAATCTTAAAGATGTAGAAATGTTTGTGCAATAGGATTGCACCTGTACATAATTGATAAATATATAATAAAAAAAGAAACTTTAATGTATTTGAATATTCTATTAAAATGAGCAACGAATTTAGTTGTCAGTTGAGAATGGACGAGATGATATTCCATCTGCAGATGAATATTACTGTCAGTGAATGCTCATATATATATATATATAGTCAGACTACTGAGAGATCGATATACGATGAGAGATTGATGCTACCGTGAAAGAAACTTGCGAATATATTCATTTATTTCATACTGAAAAGTATTCAGAAAAAAGAAACGATAGATGTACTATTTTTCATGAGTTTTTTTTTTCTTTCGGCAAATGCTATAAAACATTTATCTTAATATTTCACGGTGGACTACTTCGCAACCAGTGAATTTATAAACTTACTCATTCTTTTGCTTTTTATCATAAAAAAAAAATAAAAAATAAAATAAGACTTCCTACTACTATACCACCACCTTTTTCTTTTCTAACCTACAAACTCGGATGTGCTTGCAATGAAGACTTCGAATAATCCAACGAGGTTAAAATAAAACAATAAATTAAATAATATTAATAAATGTAATAAATAATATAAAAAGAATATAGATAATATATTTAATAATTGAAAATCAAAATACAAAAATCTGATCATTTTCCTTTGAATATAACAAAAATAAATGCAATGCAATAATACTTCAATTTAACATACAATAAATACATGTTATGTTATTATAATAATAATAATAATAATAATAATAATAATAATAATAATAATTGCATATGTAACATATTATTGTGAATCATAAACGTTAACGTGAATAATCCTATATGAATAATTAAACGTCCCATTCGATTCGCTACTTTACAGAGAGTTAAAACAAATTCAGATTTGTGTGTTCAATACGATATTTAATTAATTAATTAAATATAATAATTATATAAACATATTACAAACAAAATATTCAAATCACATTTCAAACTATTTTTCAATCCTATTTTCTTAGACACGACCCAATTCACGTTTTACATAAGTTGAAAACGTTGTAAAAAAAAACAAAAAACAAAAAACAAAAAAAGGAAAAGAAGAAAAAGAAAAAAACAAACAAATCAAATCAGGGGAATGGTGATGGTAAATTTTAAAAAAGAACGACGATCATTGGACGACACGTGGTGGCCATTTCCGGTAAGGGTAGTAGGACCACAAAAGCATGGTGGTTTGGCATGACGAGTATGGTTGAATGCTACAAAAAAAGTGGGGGAAGCAAGGAGGAAGAGTGGGGGATGAGAAGATGAAGAAGAGTGGGGGAAGAGAAGTAGGAGGAGGAGTGGGGGAAGAGAAGAGAAGGAGTGGGGAATTCTCGGATTATAGCCAATAGCAACGTACGAATAAATGACTGAGACAGAAATATATATGTATATAGAAAAAGACAGAGAGAGAGAGAGAGAGAGAGAGAGAGAGAGAGAAAGAGAATGAAGGAAGATGTACAGGGTGCCGGAAACACAACGGCAGCCATTTTTCACGGTGCGGACATCCGTTTCCGGTCCAGGGTCACCACGAAATACGAACAAAAATGACGGTGGATGTATGTGACTTGGTATAAAGGGTGGTACTAAAAAAAGAGCTTGGAAAATATATGTGTATAAATATAAAAAGTGAAAAAGAGAGAGAGAGAGAGAGAGAGAGAGAGAGAGAGAGAAGTAGAAAGAAATAGAAACAAAAATAAAAAGAACACAACAACCTCAACAACGACGGAGAAGTTGACTCCCACCTCTGGTCGTCTGTTTCGTCTGTTTCGTTTGTTTCGTTTGTTTATTTTTCTTGTTAGTTCTATCATTGTCTATCTCTCTTTTTTAACTATCCATCCATCCATCTATTTATCTTTCTTTAACTTTCACTAGGAAAATTAAACTTTTCTAATAAAAAAAAAAAAGAAAAAAAAAGAAAAAAAAGAAAAAAGAAAAAAAACTGTCACTTGTACCCTTTATTTAAATATTTTACCCCTTTTTTATTTAACCATTATTTTATTTATTTATTTTTACCCTTTATTTAACTATTTTTACCCTCTGTTTGTTATTTGTACTTTGAATTGTAATTATTTTATTTAAAATGCAAATTTGAAAAAGATCCTAATTG